ACCCGGAAGTGTCTGCGGACGGCGCCGGCTCCCGGCCTCTAGTGAGATGAGCGCACAACCCTAGAGTCTGACAATCCTGGCCCGTATGGGCAGGGGTACCTTTACCTTTTACCTAAATTCAGGTAGGTAGCCACGCTGGTCTGACGCAGTCAAAATAAATAAATAAATTGTCCAGTAGTACCTTAGAGACCAACTAAGTTTCGTTCTGGGTTTAAGCATTTGTGAAGCTGAATCTGAAGAAGTGTGCATGCACACGAAATCTTATACCCAGAACAAACTTAGTTGGTCTCTAAGGTGCTACTGGACAATATGTATAGGACTGTGATGAAAAACTGGATAACCTTGTGTTGGAATAAAACTGGAAGGTGGAAAAAAACTTTGTTTTTTGTTAGATGATGCTCCCACAATTCAACAGGCAACAACATCTCAGGAGAGGCGCCCCATTCCCTGTATAAGCCAGGGATGGGGAACCTGTGGCCCTCCAGTTTCCATCATCCCTGACCATTGGCACTGCTGGCTGTGGCTGATGGGAATTGGAGTCCAACAGCATCTAGAATCACAGGTTCCCCATTCCTGCTGTAAGAGAAGCAGCGGAATGCCTGGGACCCATCACAGACTTTTAAAGAAATTTTAATATAAGAGCATAAGAAGAGCCACCTAGTCCAGCGTCCTATTCTTATAGTGGCCAACCAGACGCCTATAGGGAGCCCACAAGCAGGAACAGAAAGCAACAGTCATTTTCCTCACTTGTGGATGTGGAACACAGCCATGACTAGTAGCCATTGATAGCGTTACTTACCCACCACAAATTCGTCTAAATCAGGGGTCAGCAACTTACGGCCCATGGGCCAGAAGTGGCCCGTGGAGGTCATTTGACCGGCCCACGAGCCGCCCCCAAACTGAGCTGCCCGCTGATGTGCTGCGCTAAACTGGCGCAGCGCGGCACGGGAACTCACTTTCACGGTGCCGAAAATCGCGTCTGCACAGACGCAGGTGCTGAAAATCAGATCTGCACATGTGCAGACGGGCATGCTCATGTGCACTCCGGCCCACGGAGGGATCTCCGCAGGTCCGATCCAGCCCAGACAAGATAAACCTTGCTGACCCCTGGTCTAAATCCTCTTTTAAAGCCGCCCAGGTCTCCTGCTCTACCAACTCAGCTGTCTCTCAGGACCTGGATTGGAGGTGCTCCCAAATGCACCAGGGCTGTTGTACCACGTTTTGAAGGATGCGAAGTAGCACACCTTGCCATTTAAAAATGGGGTGGGAGAAGAAGTGGAAAAGGAACAGAGTGGCAGGGAGGAGACCACGACTGGCTGAAAGACAGAAAAGGAGGAATCCGCACGGCAACGTTTGGTTTCAGTCAGATCTCACTTCTTCAACCATATTTCTCCATTTAATTTCGATTTATGTAATCCCAGTTTCGGGTCAAAGTTTGAACTGAAGAAAAATTATACATTTCAGAAGGTGAAATGTTGCATTTCAACATTTGGCAGCATTTTATTTCTGTCAGCCTCAAGCTTGCACACATCTTTTCCTCAGGGAGGGACAACTTAAAAGGTTCCTACTATACTTGACTGATGCAGCTGTTCCGTAATATCTGAGGTAAGGAGTTTTGAGCCCAGGGGGCAAATGCAGTCCTTCAGGCTTCTCTGTCTGACCACATGCCTTCCTCAACCATACCCGCTCTCCCCAGCCCGACTTCATACCTTATTTGAATACTTTTACCTAGCTGAATGTGTCCTTCACCTCCATTAATGCCTTAATTGCTTGGATGGATTGGGTTTGTGAGTGTAGAAACAAGCGTACTGCGCAAAGGTGAAATTTGCATTCATCACTCCATCCCTTTTTGCCTCTGGCCCGGCCCACTTCTGGCACGCGGCCCCTGAAAGGTTGCCCATAGCGGAATGTGGCCCTCAGTCTGAAAAACGTTCCTCACACTTGCTTAAGAGTTACCCTATGTCTGTTCAACTGCACTTCATTCCGGTTGAATCTGCTGGCATTTGCTCCTCAGACAAGACTTTACCACTTTGGGTTCTGCATTTGAGACCAGCCACCGGCCTGTGGCTAAACAGGGAAAGGACTTTGCCGGCATTTAGGAAGGCTGCGGCCCACTCCCAGCCACTCAGCGTCTATTTCTCCAGTTACTTTTACAGACACGCCAGTGGCGCTTTGAGAAAGCGCGCAGCAGTATGCCAAAAGCCGCACCGGATTAAATCTTGCATATGCCGTCAGGATGCACACAACTGCTGTGCCATGTGACAACATGGCTGGAAGGCAGCCTAGGCCCTTCACAGGCCCTCATGCCCTTCAAACGAACAATCGGTTTTGAGTTATGCGAAGGTGGGGGGAAATATTTGTTGTATTTGGCGGGGACAGGATGCCCTCCGCTGCCCGGGCTCAGTGTGCCATCTAATGGCGGGTTTATGTAACTGCACTCACAGTAGATTCCCTTTTATTTTTATAAAAACCCAGCTCAGTGTGGCTGCAGAAGTAACACCACCATGACTCCCCACACTCCTTATGGAATACTGGTAGATTTCTGGAAAAGGCCGGAGATCTCTAACCCAGAAGTCTCTTAACACCCCCACAAATTTGCAGTGATTCTTGGAGGAAGCCCAGAGAATGAATCCAATTTAAAACTGGATTGCATTTGTAGCATAATTGCTCAGTGACGACGTAAACAACAACGGATGTTTTGAATCTGAAATGACAGTAAGTGGGAATCAGCATAAGCACTGTAGAGTTCACCAGGTTTGATTGTTTCCCAAGCTCATCTTGCAAAAAGGTGTGTGAGCAGAAAATACCAGACGTGACCTCATGTCTGTAAAAGATTATGATTTCTGCAGAGCAATAAAAGGGTTGATTTCCCCCTTGCTACTACTTCCATGGCACTCGTCCTAAAATCGTACAAATGTGATGGAGGAAGGAACAGAGAAGAGACCTCCCACTATTAAGAGATGAAAATGTTGGTTCCCTTTTCTTTGTTTCCAATTCTGACCGCTTCCTTGCTCCCCAAAAATTCAGAGAATTCAAAGGGGAAAGGGGGCTTTCCGCCCCACCCAAGAGTCTGTGGAAAGCTCTCCCTAAGGAGATAAAACTCCCCCAAAATAAAATAATTAATGTTTATTTTTAATTATTTTATTTATTTATGAAATTTGTATACCACCCTATACCCATAGGTCTCAGGGCGGTTCACAACCTTCAGCTATCTCCTTGTGGCATCAGGAGTAGTATTGAACTATGTTTCACTCACAGCAGCCCCACTGAAATGAATGAGCATGACTAAGTTAGGTCCCTTAATTTCAACGGGTCTGCTCTAGAGATACAAGGAGAAATTCAGTTTAGTTCACGTTTAAAGCTGAGTCTATCATATCTGTGCTTTGTAACATGAGAACCAAAAACACAGCCATCTTTCCCAATTTCCACTTCGAATTTTGGGATACAGTCCCCCAACCTGCCAATGTTTACAAAAAGGCCTATATAGGGGGATAAAAATGCATATATTAGTGAAAATAACATACAAAAATGCATTGCATTTAGGGGAGATTTCTTGCAAAAATGTGCAGTTAGTCAAAACCACATATATGTTACAAGGAATTCACACTATAATCCTAGCACTTTTTAAAGTTATGGCTTTCCCCCAAAGAAACCTGAGAAGTCTACATTGAGTTGTTAGGAGACCCCTTTGCCCTCACAGACCTAGAGCGCCCTGGGAAGGTGGACTGATTCTTAAACCACTTTGGAAATGGGCTTTAAATGTATAGTGCAGATGTAGCCTTGGCTGAATACTGCTCTAGGTTAATAACACAAGTTGATCTACAAAGGCCTTTGATGAACGGTTATTATGGATTGTATTTTGACTACATTGCATGCAAAATGTTGCCTTTTCAGTCTGTTGGTTGGGACTGGCATGCAGGTAATTTACAACTTTCACACATTTAACTTGAGCGCAATCTGCTTTATGGGCTGGGCGGTGGAATTAAAAAGGGGGTGCAGGCATCCTGGGTAGGGAAACCTTGGCAATCCCACCCACCATTGCACCCAATGGGTTTTGACTGCAGTGTACTGTAGTCACTACACACAATTTTGGCTTTATGTGCCATACCCAGAACGTAACCCCCACTTAAGTTGAGAGTCGCCTCTACTTGACTTATGCATGGATTTTGGAGTGGGTTGTGTGCTTGTTTCATTTTACATGAGCCACCGTGAATGTTTATGTAAATTGAAAGCCATTCTCGGAATAAATCAAGATGAGGCAGTTTTTGAAACCATATTCCACCACGTAACTTGGTGCATATGTTTGCAAGCCAACTCCTCTCCCCAAGTTGCTCCACACATGCTCAGGGACACTGTTGTTTCTTAAAAACCATATGCTGCCTTGTAAAAGTATGGAGATTAAGCATTGATCCGACTGGCCTAGTTCTGCCTCTCCTGACACCAGACCATTCCTGGGGGGGTGTCCTCCTCTTAGGCAAGAGGCCTTTGCCTCCTCTTCTCCCTGGCTGAAACAACACTATTCGCTATAAAGCGACCCTACTCGCCAGCTTCGTTTTCTAAGCAGTTTCGCACGAGACAGACGCTCGTTTCCTTCCTCAAAGGAAAGGCGCTCTGCACATGCCTAGAGGTAATGCAGCGCAAGATGCAGCAACAGCAGCAAAAAGTCGGCGACCCCTATTTCAATACGCTATTTTTATTATTATTATTATTATTATTATTATTATTATTATTATTATTATTACTAAAGTCAAGAAATCGAACGGGAAGAAAGGCGCGCCTGCTGCGCCCTGCTCGACCCGGCTGCGCGCAATCCCGGCCGCGGCGCCTGCAGCGCGGAGCAATCGTGGCAAAGGCGGCCCTGCCCGGCCTGCCTCCCTCCCTCCCTCGCCGGCCCGCCCTCCCTGCCGCTTTGGGCGAGGGGCTGTCCCAAGCCGGCTTCCCCTTCCTTTCGGCGGTGACTGACAGAGATCGCAGCCAGTGCCCGCCCTGCGGAGGGGGGACTAACCCCAGCCTCTCCGGCGCAGCCCGGGAACCAACCTGGCGGCCACCTCCAGGGCAGGGCGAAGCGAGGCGAGCGGGGCTGGCGCGGCGCGCGGGCAGGGCAAGGCAGGGCCGGGCAGCGCGCGATGGGCGCCGCGGGACTCGAGGCGGAGACGCCGCCGCCGCCTCCGGAGCCCTGAGAGAGCGAGAGCGAGAGCCGCGCGGGAGGCGCCCCGGCCCAGGTAGCGGAGCCGGGCCCGGGGCGCGCCAAGACGCGCACAGCCGGCGAGCGGAGCGCGGGGCGAGGGCGGGGGACGGAACAAAGGGCGGAGCTGGAGCCGGGACTCCTGGGTCCCTTCGGGGAGGAGGGGGTCTTGCAGGAAGCGGGAGCCGGGATTCCCTTTCGCAGGTCCCGGGGCTTTAGCGGCACCAGGACGCCTGGGTCCTCCCGAGGGGAGGAGGAGGAGGAGGCTCCGGTACTCGTCCGGGTCCCGTTAGTTCTCGCATTTGGGGTTGGGCTCCACCAGGCTTCCTAAGATCGGGGTCTTGTGGGGGGGGGCGCGGGCGGGAAGGTGGAGGTAGGACTCCTGGGTTCTTTTCAGAGGCCGGAGCCAGGACTTCTGCGACCGGGACCGGCTATAGTTCTCGCAGATTAGGAGCAGGACTGCTGGGTTTCCCTAGGAAGGGAGGTGTGAGGCTGGGCTCCTCGGTGCTCTTAGAGGGCAAGGGAAAGAACCTGCGCCCTCCGCCCAAGATGTTGTGGGGCTCCAGCTCCCATCAGCCACAGCCAAAATGGCCTGTGGTCAAGGGGGATGGGCGTCCCGGTCCCAGCACCCTCTGGAGGCCCTGCCGATTCTCCATCCCTGCCTTAGGGAGACAGAGCGTGGAAGAAGAGAAGCAGCACTCTTCTAGAAAGGAAGAGATAAAACTTCTTAGAATTAGGGCTGGGAGCCAGGACTCTTGGATTTATTTGCAGGGAAATGTAAGTGGGAATCTGATGTGCCAGAGCCAGGACTTCTTGGTCCTCAGGAGACTTTTTCCTGGAACAGCCACGGGAGAATCCTCAGAGTCAGAATTCCTTGGGATCTCAGGGAGAGTGAGTTTTATAGGCTCAGGCTAGCCTCCTAAGCGGGTCTCCCACATGCTTGGCGAAATGGGATGGCAACAAAGAAAGGCGAGGGGATGAGAGTCAAGGAGCACAGCTCCATTGTGACATTTTAGGAGGGGTAGAATTCGCTCCATCATCCCATCCAGTGATAGGATTATGTGTGGGTGGCAGGGAATATTGGAGTGGGTGCTTAGTCCAAAGGACTGTCCTATACGTTAGCAGTATGGCATATGTTGTGTGTGACATACAGATATGCATTGGTCCATACGCACTTGTGAACTCTTAGAAGGGACTTTTGTGGTGTGTCCATGGGGGGGGGGTGGATCTCCCTGACACACCCTGGCTGTGTGTTTAAGCATGACCAGAATTGCTTCTTGCCTGTGGACTGAATCAGTTCATTCGTGGTGCATGGTGAGAAGTCCCGTCCCTCCCCCCCACATCCCCTCCCATATCACTATTGCTCAAGGTTCATCTAATGAAATAGATTGGCAGGAGATTCCAGACAGATCCGCCACAAAAAAGTACTTCACTTGAGGCACACACTTAACATATGTATTTTGCTGCTTCTTGCTTAGATGTCTTTAAAAAGAGATTAGGAAAAGAAAAAAAAATGAATGGAGCATAGGCCCAGTTCATTGTAAGCTAAATGAGAGCATTGTGTTCAGATTCTGCTTGCGGGCTTCCCAAAGGCATCGGTTTGGCCAACGTGAAAACAGGAGGCTGGACTAGATAGGACTTCGACCTGATCCTACAGGGCTTTTCTTCCATTCTTACGAAACAATAGGAAGCAAGATGGGCCTTTGGTCTTATGCAGCAGGACCTTTTCTATGTTCTGCAAACATCCCAAGCAGTTTCTTGGGGCAGCTGGGAAGCAGTGCATTACTCGGGAGGTGTGGCCCAGATGTGTGCATAACCCAAGTGCTTCACACGCACCCCAGCATCCTCTGAAACCTTGCAAGGGATTCTGGTGCATAATTCCCAGACTTCCCATGGTCTTAGTGGACGAACCTTGTCAAAGAATCCCTAAGAATTGGTACCAGGCAGCTCACAGGGGTTTGGTGCTCTGAATGGGCACATTTGAGTCGTGCCACATGGAGTTATCCAATGGAAGTGATTGGAATTAGATGCAGGAACCACAGAATTATGGAGTTGGAGGGTCCCTGAGAGGCTAACTAGTCCAAACCCCCTGCTTAGTGCAGAATCCGCAGTGAAGGAGAGCCCACTTTCTCCCTAGGGACGTCTTCCCAGAACTAAGCATCTCTCGCTGTTAGGATGTCTCTCCTCCTGTTTAGCTGCTTCTTTGCAATTTCCACCTATTGGTTCTAGTCCTGCCCCCTGGGGTGACAGGACTGGCAAAAGGATGCCTGATGAGCTTTTGTCATTCATCTTCATGGGATGCTGTGACGACTGCTGGCTTTCCATTGGCTTGTAGACCCTTAAAAATCCTAGGAGGCTGCCTTAGACCAGGTCAGACTAGTTGCTAATCTAACGCAGGACTTGCTACTCCAACTGGCAGCAGCTCTCCAGGGCAGAAAGAAGTATTGCCTCCCCCCGCCCCCCACCCATCACCTACTCAATGATCATTATCCTTAAAATAACAAGAAACTCACTATGCTAGGAATTGAACTTGGGACCTTTCTACTCTGAGCTACCATGCCACCCTTAGGTCAGGCAAGGTCTGCCTAGCCCAGTACTCTTTTACTCCCAAGTAGTAGTGGTCTTAGGCAGAGATCATTTGTGTTTCCTGCTTCACTGGAGATCCTGAGGATTGAACCTGGGACATTCTGCAGACAAAGCACATGAGCTGAGGCTCCTCCCATCTGGCCAGGCACTTTCAGAATGCTGAACTAAAGGGACCTTTGGTCTGGCCCAGGAAGGCAATTCACGTGCTCTTTATCTTTTTAAATAAAGTGTCAGTATATTATTCTCTCTGGCTCAGAGGCTCTGTAGATGACCTGTCGGCCGCGAGAGAGCAAGTAATTGTGCAGAAATGTGCATTCCAGGGCACAGTTACACCTGGAACATTTTAAAACAGTAGTGCTTTGATCCTCGGAGGCAAAGTACTGCATTATCCTGCCCTATCACTAGTTTTTGCTTTGCCCTAGCTTTGAGGAGAGAACTACCACTTGCCCCTTGCTCCTAAGAAGGGTGTTCTCATTCAGTGTGGAGAAAATGGATAGCAAGAAATTCCTTCCCCTCCCCACATGAAGATAAAACTCAGGTTTTCTCAAAAGAAATCGATTGGCAGCAGACACTGGAAGGATAAAAGGAAGCACTTTTTCGTGCAATGGGTGCTTCATCTACAGCAGGGGTTCCCAAACTCTGGTCTGTGGCATGGCTGTGGATTTGTGGCCAGAAATGGGAGGCAGTGCAGTGAGTCATTGCCTTAAATATTTCCAAACTGTATTTTTATTGCTTCTTGTGTTTCTTACATTGTATTACAAGTTGACTTATGTGGAATTTCGGTTGCATTGCAATAAAATAGGTTTGAAATAAAAGAAGCAATAGAAACACAGTTTTTTAAAAACCGTACAGCGTCTAGCACAGTGCATTACAGTTGCTACAGCCAGCAGAAAAAACCATTAAATGATCTGCCGTCTGAGACTCTTGGCAATTTGCAAGTGGTCCAGGGCTGGGGGGTGAGTTTGGGAATTGCTGGCGTCTGGTCTTCCCTGCCACAAAATGGAGTGATGGCCACCAACCCGGGTGGCTTTAAAAGAGGATTAGATACATTTCTGGAGGAAGGGAGGGTCTATCAATGCCTGGTGTTCTGTCTACGTTTTCTCTCCAGGCTGTGAGTGCTGATGTTTATGTGACTAAAATGCACAAGAAGAAGAAGTCAGCAGGCTCGGGGCGGGGGGAGAAACCCCAAAGTTTGTAGAAGTACAAAAAAAAAAAATTTAGGGAGAAAAGGGGCTTTAGGACCCTGACTGACTTGGGGTAGAGGTTTGGGGGCAGAAGGAATGGCACAGAGTGTCTAGAATTCTGAAAAGCAGCACTCAGCACTGCAGCATTTTGCTGCAGGCCCAATTTTCTGTATTTTTCTTTATTAAATTTATATGCCGCCTTCATCCGAAGATCTCAGGTCGATTTACAGCATAAAAATACAGGATAGAAGCAAAAAAATAAATAGGTAAAACAAAACAATAACTCCCCCTCCCACAAAAACATGTAAAAGGTCATAGAAACATTTAAAAGGACATAGGCACTAATTGAATTCCAAACTCCTACTGACCCAATGCAACAGGGGCACAGACAGTTCTCGGCCGCTTTGGGGTCGATCCTGTTCCTTACGAGCGTAATTCTCAGTGGCGTTTTGGCTTTATGTTTCAGGGAGGAGTCCTTTTGCTGCCGCATCATCACTTTGCCGGCGTTAAGGTAACATTTGCTGGCTGCCAGTCCTTATCTTCCTTGTCCGGCTCCCAGAGACGTGTGGATTGTCTCAACAGCCTCTTTTGACTGGCCCCAGTTGGCACCGGCCAGAAGATTCCTCCTTTTTGCTGAGGGGAAGGTTGGAGGGAAAATGGCCGCCACACAGGAAGTGCCTCCTCCGGCGCTGGGCCTCCATTTTTTGTACCCGTTAGAAGACACCCTGCCGCCGCGGGTGAAGATGGAGGAGCCTGGTCCACCGTGCCCCGAAGCGGGGTGGGAATGGGACGCCACAGGGAAGGCGCCCCTCGTCGTCCAGGCTGGCACCATTAGCGATTTACTGAGGTGGGCGACCCCTCCTCAGGTGAGAAGCGACCCCATCCCGCAGCTGTGGGAGGTTCAGTGCCAGGAGATGGTGCAGACCCCCGTGGCAGTGCCACCCCCACCACCTGCCTGGGGGAACCTCCAACTCCCTGAGCTGGCGCCCGTGGACGACATCGAGGCCTACCTTTCATCCTTTGAGCGGGCGGCTGAAACCTGCCAGTGGCCGAGGGGAGAGTGGGTGACCCGCCTCATGCCGGCCCTCAGCGGGAAAGGCCAACCGCCCCACAATGGCCTGGATGCCAGGAGCAGCCGGGGAGACCACAGGAAGTCGAAGTCCTCCAGCCTGCGAGGGGAGGCCGGGCCCAGCGTGGAGATGCAGCGCCAGCGCTTCCGGCAGTTCCGCTACCAGGACTCGGAAGGCCCTCGGGAGGCTTGCCGGAGGCTGAGGGAGCTCTGTCGCCGCTGGCTGAAGCCCGAGAGCCGCACTAAGGAGCAGATCCTGGAGCTGCTGATCCTGGAGCAGTTCCTGACCATCTTGCCCCAGGAGATCCAGAACTGGGTGTGGGAGCGAGGCCCAGAGACGTGTGCCCAGGCGGTGGCTCTAGTGGAAGGCTACCAGATGGGACGGCGAGAGGCAGGCATGTGGGAGCAACAGGTGAGGACGCTTTACGTCATGGTGACAGAGAGGTTTTATTTTGTGGACCACCCTGAGATCCTTCAATGAAGGGTGGTATAATAATAATAATAATAATTAATAATAAGGGTGCCTCCAGCCACAGTCCCTATAGCATCCTAGTTCCCCCAACAACACCTCCAGAAGTTTTCTCAAGAATCCAGCAAGACGTTTCTGTATAAAACCCTTAACCAAGTGTTCAGTAAGAAAGGTAAAGGGACCCCTGACCATAAGGTCCAGTCGTGACCGACTCTGGGGTTGCGGCGTTCATCTCGCTTTATTAGCCAAGGGAGCCGGCGTACAGCTTCCGGGTCATGTGGCCAGCATGACTAAGCCGCTTCTGGTGAACCAGAGCTGCGCACGGAAACACCGTTTACCTTCCCGCCGGAGTGGTACCTGTTTATCTACTTGCACTTTGAGGTGCTTTCAAACTGTTAGGTGGGCAGGAGCAGGGACCGAGGAACGGGAGCTCACCCCGTCGCGGGGATTCGAACCGCCGACCTTCTGATCGGCAAGTCTTAGGCTCTGTGGTTTAACCCACAGCGCCACCCGCATCCCAAGTGTTCAGTACTTCACATAAATAAAGAGAGACAAGTCCTTGCCCCAAGGGGTGTACAGTCTAAAACAGTGGCTCAACCTTTTTTTGGCCATGCCCCACCTAAGCATCTCTAAAATCCCTGTGACATATAATTCTTATTATTCAAAAAGTGAACTCCTATTCACGTGGAAGAAGCCTAAAAGGCCATTGACTGTTAATAACTCATTCTCAAATTGCCCCCTTTAAAAATCAAATCGCCCCCCTGTGGTGCGTGTGCCCCACGTTGGGAACTGCGGGTTTAAAAGAACCATTGGCCCTACGTATGTTGCTGGAACTACAACGCCCATCTGCCCCAGGAAGCATTAACAGTGGCCAGGAATTGTGGGAGATGGGCAGCATCTGGAGGGCAGGAGGTGATCCACACCTGGTCTAAAATATTTGAAGGATAACAAGGGAAGACAATTGAGAAGGGGAATGTGCAGGCTGGTGTTCACCTGCTCTCAGAAGGGTATTGTAGAGCTGGAAAGGTACAGAAAAGGCCAACCTAAATGAGCAGAGGATTGAAGCATTTTCCTTGCAAGAAAAAGCTAAATAAAGCAAAAGGAGAGAAAGCTGTGCCCCTACGACAACTCCCATCAGTGTCCAAGAGTCAGGAGTGGTGGGAGCTGGTCTAGGGTCACGGTTTCTTCCTTCCTGTACTTTAAAGGTGATTGGGGGGCGGGCCTTGAAGGAGGCTGTTTCCTTCCTAATGGCATGTTGTTGTCTCTCGTTGCCAGGTTACAGTACGGGTGAAAGTTGAGCAGGTAAGCCCACAAGAAATGATTCTCCCTGGAGCGCCATGGGAACCTCCTGCCCCACTGCTGCCCCATCTCGACTGCTTATCCTCAACAGACGTAACACTAAACCAGCCTCCCCTCATCCCTGCTCTCAAGATGCCCTGCATCCCTAAACAGGAGCCCCGAGGACTTCAGGAAACAGGTAAGAAATACAAGAGGAGCCCCTGGTTTTAATGGAGGAGGCTTTGGGTGCAATGGGAGGTTCTGGGGATGTTTTCCTATGCCCAGAGACTGAAGGTTGCTGGACCCAGCCCTGTTGGCTTGTTTCAGTTTTTACTTGCCTTTCTCATAAAACACAGGCCAACCTGGTGCCCTCCAGATGTTTTGGACTGTGGCTCTCATCAGCACCAGAAAGCAGCTGGCCATGCAGGCAACCCACCTATAGTCTGGCTCATACACATGCAGAGTCTGCATTAGCGATGGGGAAACTTTTTTAGCCTGAGTGCCACCTTACCTTCTGGACAACCTGTTGAGGGCTGCATGCCAGTGGTGGGTGAAGCCAGTGGCCAAATTGGGCAGAGCAGCAATCAGGGGGAAATGGGTATAAATAAATTAATAATATTAATAATATTTTTTTACCTTTGTGCAGTAATCTGGTTTGTGTACACACGCATCCCACACCATCCTCCCATCAGGTCTAGGAAGAGGCCTTAGCAGAGGTCAAGGACACACACTAGCCAACCCAAAATCACTCAGGGAAGGGTGCAAAGCAGGACCAGAAGAGGGCGTGACTAGGGAGAATGGTTTGCAATGCAGGGTGCAAACAGGGTGGGGAAAACCTGGGGCCTTGTGGGTGATGCTGGACTCCCAGTTCCCCTCACCCCTCACCATTGGCCATGCTGCCTGAGGCTGATGGGAGTTTGAGTCCAAGGAAGTCAGGGGGGTGGGGCCCACAGGTTCTCCATCCCTGCCCTACAGCACCCCAGACACGCAGGCCGCTTCGCTGTTTGAATAGCTTTTACGTTCCCCCGAAGGCTTAGCCTGCTTCCCTGCGGTTTCCACTCATTTGGCACTGCAGACAAGATGCACCCATTTCTCCGTGTGATGATTTAATTTCTAGAGTCCAGATGAGAGAGGGTGAATCCTGAAGAACAGCCATGCTAGTAACTCTGCACAAAGAGAATTTCAGCTTGACGTCCCTGAAATGCGAAAAGCGAGAGGCGAGTTGGAGGCAGTGATCTATTTGTGTCTTAAGACAAACAGATGCCAATGATAACAGCAACATTGATGGGGACCAGGAAATAGGAACAGTCCCTGGTAAAAAGGGACAGTAAGAGTGCTTGCGTTTTGCTTTCACAATGCCAGAGGCAGGTTGCTAGCCTGGCTCCATAGGCGGCAGGCAGCGTGCTGGGAAAGTGTGACAATGCCCTACTCTTTTTCTTATCTCAGCAGGTGCCCTGATGGTAAACGGGAGCCGAGAGGAGAATCCTCTGCAAGGAGGTGCCATGGAAGTGGAGCCTCCCAGGGCGTTTCCGTCCGGGAATTCCCAGGAGAATGTGGCGGCTGAAAACCGTGGGGGCGAGAGAGCCAGCCAGCCTCGCGAAGAGAGGTGCGGTGAAACGGGAGAGAATCCGGCTGCACGCCCCATCCCCAGCGGAGCCTGCCACCCGGCAGGAAAGCCCCTCCACCGGTGCTCAGAATGCGGGAAAACGTTCAGCCGCAACTCGCACCTGCTCACCCACCAGAGGATCCACACGGGGGAAAAGCCCCACCAGTGCCCCCAGTGCGGCAAGTGCTTCGGCCACACCTCCCAGCTGACCCGGCACCAGAGGACCCACGCCTCGGAAAGACCCTTCCGCTGCGCCCAGTGCAGCCGGAGCTTTTACCAGAGCTCGGAGCTGACCAGGCACCGAGCGTCCCACGCCAGGGAACGCCCTTACGGGTGCAGCCAGTGCGGCAAGAAGTTCCGCTGGAGCTCCGACCTCATCCGCCACCAGATCACCCACACGGGAGAGAGACCGTACAAATGCCCCGAGTGCGGGAAGAAGTTTGGGCAGAACTCGCACCTCGTTCGGCATCGGAGAACCCACACGACTTAGCGGAAGATCTTTCCCCGACGGAAGGAAACCCGAATTGCCCTGCGCCGAGAGTTCGCCGGGGGCCAAAGCGTGGACCGTGCTCACCGCCAAGTTTGGTGCTGTTGTGGCCCAGATGACTGGTGTCCCTTCAGCTTGACGTCTGCAGATCATTATCTGTCAGGGATGGCTTAGTTAGAATGAATTCTATTTACGTGCAAAGCGGGAGGGACAGTGTGGCTGGTTTCCGGATCCCATTTTGTGTCTCGCCAGAAGCTCCACAGCACAACCAGACTGAGCGGTCCAAGAAGATGCCCAGTCTTGCTTGGCTTGGCTTCCTGAACCGATAACATTGTGGTGGCACCAGCTGAATGTCTCTTCTCTCTCTCTCTCTCTCTCTCTCTCTCTCTCTCTCTCTCTCTCAATTTTTCTCTTTTTTATAGGAAAGGCGATAGATCTTCTAGTCCTCTAGACAGGTTTATTGTTACATAACACAGCCTGTATTTCCGTATGCCAAGATCATACCTTTGTAGCAAAACAAAAGCAATGTATTTTTTAGAGAAGACGGTCCATTCTGTATTTGGGGAAGCGGGCAATCTTCAGAACAGTGGAGATCCCTCTTGGGGAAGCTGCTCTGGTACTTTGTTTTTTTCTGGGTGGTGGTGGAAATTACAGCTTTGATAAACAGGAGAGTTGTCAACACAGGGTTTCACTGGTACGGGAGTACACAAAGAGAAGGTGACAATGACGGCACTGAGAATCTGGGTGTCTGGACGTTCTGGTAACAGGAGCTCTCCCCTGCCTCAAATGCTTGGGATTGGCAGCTGGCATTCAAAGGGCCCCACAGGCTTTCCATCTGGCCCTCAGCGTTGCCCCCCTGTCCCAGAGAAACGCCATCCCTTGCTACTTGCACACCTTGGCCTTTTCCTCCAATGTAGCAAAGGGCTCTTCATGTTCTGTGCAACAGAGGATTTTCCAAAGCTATTAACTTGCTTGACTCATTTGTGAGCTCCCTTGTGTGAGTCGAAACACATGCAAAATTGGAGTATGAGCAGGTGACGTGCGTAAGGAAAGCATCCCTGCCCAGGCCTCTGCTTGCTGTTCACACTCTGGGGTTACAGAAAGGGTTAAAGAGCCCTTTGCTGGTGAGGATGAGCCAGTGGGATGAGGCCAATGCTGCCAGCCCTTCAGTCCTTTCTTAGCATCACCCTGTTGAAAATGAGGGACTATGAGTATGAAGGGCCACAAGAGGGAGAAAAGGGGAGACTCCAAAAATCTCTTCCCAAAACCTCTTGAGTTCCTGCCATCTTCAGAGTACCGCAAAGCCCACTCAGAAAGCCCACAATTCCCATTCATGATTCTAGTATAGTGTCTTCCAAACGTGGGTCTCCAGCTGTTTTTGGACTACAGTTCCCATCATCCCTGACCACTGGTCCTGCTTGCTAGGGATGATGGGAGTTGTGGTTCATCCACAGGAGGAGACGCAAATTTGGTAAACACTGTTCTAGTCCACCTGCTTTCCGCTCTACATGATAGGCAAGGCTTGGGACAGTATAATACTTTTTATTTACTCTTGTGTGCCCTCCTTGCTTCTCTCTTCTTCCAGTCAACATCCAGCTAGCCAGTGAGTGCTCCGCTCTTCCCTCGTTTATGCAATTTATGCAAACCCCTCCACACCCAAATATATGCAAATATGTTTGGATTTGCACAAACCATACTCGGCCCAGGCTTCATTGTCTCTTCATGCAGAATTTTTGAGTCCTCCCCTTTTAAAAAACAAATATATGCAGCTCACAGCAAGCTGCTGTTATCTCAGAAGCCAGTTTTTACCAGAGAGTGGCTGCCTTGTGGACCTACAAGACTGTCCAGTTTCTCAGGGCGGCTGTGAAGATGTGAGATCTTATTTGAAGATTTTAACAGTGGGTAGCAGGCTCACCAAGTCCTAGACTAGTCGGGTAGTGAAGAGGGGAGTGTTCTGCTGGTATAAACATCATCAGAGTTGTACCGATGGGTCAGAAGGGAGGACTCGAGAACACATAGGGCGGTGGTCAACTAACTCCTTCTTGTAGGAGACCCATTGAAGTTAACGAACCCAAGTTAACCATGTCCATTAGCTTAAATGGGTCTGCTTGGAGTAGGACTTGTGTTGAATCCCACCCCTAGTATCAGCCATGTAGGACCTTATTAGGTCGTTTTGACAGTCATCATAAGCACCGAAGCAAAGGCCAGGAATCGTAAGTAACTCTTTTGGGAATGTTCTTATAGTACTTGGATCTCCAAACATCTCACATGTACTCCTAATTTTATACCAGCAGAGGTTGGGCAAGTATTGACGAGGAATAATTTGGGGGTTACTGCAGTGTCTGCCAATTTGTTACCTAGATGAAGTGGGGTGGAGGGTGATATCTGGAAAGGGGGCAGTGCCAAGCAGCCTGGTTTCCTCCTGCGCTTTGGGTGCCAAGCAGGCAGGGGAAAAAAGTAGTCAGGCACTCTTGACTTCCAGGAGGGTGGTTGTGTGTGCAAAAGCCACAATTTTGGAGCTGATTTTCAGAATTTTTGGAGTAAAATTAGAACGCCTGGAGTCAAAGCGTGATTTCCCACTTCATGAACACACTTGAACTTGTATCACACACATACACACCCACCCACCCACCCACTAAGCCAGACTGTTAAGCTCACCATTTCATACTTGGCTGCAAGAGACTGCAAGATGGGTGTGGCTGGTGGGTGCAGGTCTGTGCCTCCTCATAGGCGAGCAGAGACCCACAAATTTGAGCCGGCCTCAGATTTGATTCCAAGGCGCTGAGTGCAAGAAAGTCAAAAGTGCAAGACGGTCTGAGGACTCTGTCCTGTATCTGAGTGGGGATTTCACCAGATTACAAAAAATGGTGTCACCTGTGGAGGTTGTATACTCATAAAAACCCTCTACAATTCCTTCACTCCTTAGCTCAGGTGTAAACCAGCATATCAGCAAGTACTAACCATGGGAGTGAAAATGAGGCTCCACTCAAATTATGAGGGAAAAGATACAGGCTTAGTGAAATCCACAAGTCCTACCCATTGACTGTCCCAAATTTAAGTCAAATCATGCCCCCATGCTCCCCATAGCCGTTTAAGAACAGTAGCTAAGGGAGTGTTCACAAAAAGGAAGGGCGACTGGCCCACTCTGCCTCCAGTTTAATACAAGCACTGGCTCTGCTCCTACCAACATCTGCCAGGCCTTTAACAAGACCTAAGTTCCACCTCTTGGTCATTGTTGACAACCCAGTTATGTAGTAATTCTTTGCAGCTTTGTTTTATTTCAACATTTCTTCAGTCCTGGCTACTTGGAGGTTGACAGCCACTAGCAAAGTCTCTGCCATGGCAGAAGGGAGATTTCCTCCCACAAAGTCCTAACACCAAAGAGCAGAAAAGCAGTATCATCCAGTACCATGTTTGTTCCTTGGGATAAGGTTGCCCTTGTTCTTCGTCTAGCTATTTGATTATGATTCTGTTATTCTATGATCTGAGCAGGAGTGAGGAGCTAGCAGCCTGCAGGCCAGATCTGTCCCACCCCCACAAGCCTTTCCTACCTACTAGAAACTGAATATTGGGGCTGGCCCAGTTGGACAGTTTCCTTTTTTTAAAAGAAGTTGGATTTTATTTTCATTTGTATGGATTAATTTGAAGAAATTAAACATCTCACATTTTTGTTTCTCTCACTGGTCCCCCCCCCCTTTTCACAAGTTTCATAACGCGCTCCCTTAACTCCCTTAAGCAACAAGAGGAACAGCCATTTTAGATCTGGTCCTAACCAATGTTGATGACCTGGTTAGTGGGGTAGAAGTGGAAGGATCATTAGGCGTGAGTGATCATTAGGCGCGAGTGATCATTAGGCGCGAGTGATCATGCTCTTCTGAAGTTTACTATACAGCGGAAAGGAGCAGCCAAGCATACTAGGACTCAATTTCTTGACTTTAAGAAAGCCGACTTCATAAAACTTAGGGAAGTGCTGGGTGAGATCCCATGGACAGTAATACTAAAAGGAAAGGGAGTTCATGATGGCTGGGAGTTTGTTAAGAGGGAGATAGTAAAAGCACAATGTCAGGCAATACCAATGAGACGGAAACATGGAAGGTGCCTAAAGAAGCCAGGGTGGCTATCTAAAGAACTTTTAACTGAGTTAAGATTAAAAAAAGGATGTGTACAAAAAATGGAAAAGGGGGGAAACCACCAAAGAGGAATTCAAACAAATAGCCAGCACGTGTAGACACAAAGTCAGAAAAGCTAAAGCACAGAATGAACTCAGGCTTGCTAGAGAGGTTAAAAGCAACAATAAAGGCTTGTATGGGTATGTTCGTAGCAAAAGGAAGAACAAAGAAACAGTGGGGTCACTCAGAGGAGAAGATGGTGAAATGCAAACAGGGGACACAGAAAGGGCTGAACTCCTCAATGCCTTCTTTGCCTCAGTCTTCTCCGATAAAGAAAACAATGCCCGACCTGAAGAATTTGGAGCAAATGATTCAGCAAAGGAAACACAGCCCAGAATAACTAAGGAGATAGTACAAGAATACTTGGCTAGTTTAGATGTATTCAAGTCTCCAGGGCCAGATGAACTGCATCCAAGAGTCTTAAAAGAACTGGCAGATGTGATCTCAGAACCACTGGCAGTCATCTTTGAGAATTCCTGGAGAACAGGCGAAGTCCCGGCAGACTGGAGGAGGGCAAATGTTGTCCCTATTTTCAAAAAGGGGAAAAGAGAGGACCCAAATAATTACCGCCCAGTCAGTCTGACATCAATACCAGGGAAGATTCTGGAGCAGATCATTAAGCAAACAGTCTGTGAGCACCTAGAAAGGAATGCTGTGATCACCAATAGCATGGATTTCTGAAAAATAAGTCATGTCAGACTAATCTGATCTTGTTTTTTGACAGAATTACAAGCCTGGTAGATGAAGGGAACGCAGTGGATGTAGCCTACCTTGATTTCAGCAAGGCATTTGACAAGGTGCCCCATGATATTCTTGTAAAGAAGCTGGTAAAATGCGGTCTTGACTATGCTACCACTCAGTGGATTTGTAACTGGCAGACTGACCGAACCCAAAGGGTGCTCATCAATGGTTCCTCTTCATCCTGGAGAAGAGTGACTAGTGGGGTGCCACAGGGTTCTGTCTTGGGCCCGGTCTTATTCAACATCTTTATCAACGACTTGGATGATGGACTCAAGGGCATCCTGATAAAATTTGCAGATGACACCAAACTGGGAGGGGTGGCTAACACCCCAGAGGACAGGATCACACTTCAAAACGACCTTGACAGATTAGAGAACTGGGCCAAAACGAACAAGATGAATTTTAACAGGGAGAAATGTAAAGTATTGCACTTGGGCAAAAAAATGAGAGGCACAAATACAAGATGGGTGACACCTGGCTTGAGAGCAGTACATGTGAAAAGGATCTAGGAGTCTTGGTTGACCACAAACTTGACATGAGCCAACAGTGTGACGCGGCAGCTAAAAAAAGCCAATGCAATTCTAGGCTGCATCAATAGGAGTATAGCATCTAGATCAAGGGAAGTAATAGTGCCACTGTATTCTGCTCTGGTCAGACCTCACCTGGGGTACTGTGTCCAGTTCTGGGCACCACAGTTCAAGAAGGACACTGACAAACTGGAACGTGTCCAGAGGAGGGCAACCAAAATGGTCAAAGGCCTGGAAACGATGCCTTATGAGGAATGGCTAAGGGAGCTGGGCATGTTTAGCCTGGAGAAGAGGAGGTTAAGGGGTGATATGATAGCCATGTTCAAATATATAAAAGGATGTCACATAGAGGAGGGAGAAAGGTTGTTTTCTGCTGCTCCAGAGAAGCGGACACGGAGCAATGGATCCAAACTACATGAAAGAAGATTCCACCTAAACATTAGGAAGAACTTCCTGACAGTAAGAGCTGTTCAACAGTGGAATTTGCTGCCAAGGAGTGTGGTGGAGTCTCCTTCTTTGGAGGTCTTTAAGCAGAGGCTTGACAACCATATGTCAGGAGTGCTCTGATGGTGTTTCCTGCTTGGCAGGGGTTGACTCGATGGCCCTTGTGGTCTCTTCCAGCTCTATGATTCTATGATTCTATGAACTGCATGCCTCCGCTAACCCAGAAATATTACCTCGGGTTAAGAACTTTGCTTCAGGATGAGAACACAAATCGTGCGGCGGCAGCGGGAGGCCCCATTAGCTAAAGTGGTGCTTCAGGTTAAGAGCAATTTCAGTTTAAGAACAGACCTCCAGAACGAATTAAGTTCTTAACCCGAGGTACCACTGTATTACAACCTGTCATTTATAGCACAATCTGCTTATTGCCTCAGTCCCAAGATGCTTGTTCTTCAGGCAGGAACTCTCAAAGTAGCAGCAGACATAAATGCCGTGAGGAGACCCCTCACAGAGCTACAATTCCCACAGTTCCTTGGGAAGTGGGATTGCTTGTTAGCGCTTTTGGTATTGTAGCTCTGGGAGGGGGATAGGGGGGTCCCAACAACTCTCAAGGCCCCACTGCCGTTCCCAGGATTATTTGGGGGAAGCCATGGCTGTTCCACGCCTGTTTCAAATGTCTGCAGCCGGACTGGCGAAGTTGGAGTTGGTTCAGATTCCTGCATTGCAGGGGGTTGGACTAGATGACTCTGAGTGTCCCTCCCAACTCTACAATTCTGTGATTTCCCCACACCCCAGTTCAGCCTAAGGAGAGTCGGCGAGAGCAGTGAGAGCTAAAAGCAGGTTTATTGGGGGTGCGGGGTGTGGAGGGGCGTGGTCGAGGCTGCCACGTCCAGGCGGCACTTCTGCGGAGGGCGCCGGCTGCTTCTCTGGCCTAGCGGTATTAGAGCAGCGCGTTGACGATGAGCACAGCCTCGCTGAAGATGTCCATTTCCTCCTCCTGGGTGTCTTGGTTCGGCACCTGCGGGAGGGGCGAAGGCGGGGAGCGTTAGAGAGGACGGAGCGGCGCGAAGGGGCGAAGGAGGGACCCCCTTCCGGAGCCCCCGCCCGACGGGGAGGGAGAGAGACTCACCCTGGAGTTGACGGGGTCCGCCAGCAGGTTCTGGGCAGGCAGGGCGCTCGGGTTGCTGGGGTCGCCCTCGCCTTCCTCCAGGATGCGGCGGTAGACGGACTTGTAGATTATCGTTAACAGCTGCGTCCTAATGGGGACGCGGCTACTGGAGGAGGGGGAGAAGAAGGTCAGCTTGCGGGAAACGAGAGTAAAGAGGAGAAGGGTCGGGCCATGGCCTCGGCATCGGGAAAGGGTCCCTGCCCGACGGGGCGGGCTTACCTGGGCACAGCCTGGGCGCCAATGTCTGCGGAACGGGACGGGATCTCGGCCCAAACGGGCTGCACGTGGCTCTGGTTGACTCCGCTCAGCGCCATCCTGCCAGCTCAACCTCTTCGGTGCCGTCGGGGACCGAGGAGCCCTTTTTATGCCGTCCATCGCTGCATTCATGCACGACTTTCACATAAATAGGTTTATGGGAATAAACAGAGGAGAAGAAGACTCCAAACAATAACTTGGAACATCAAAAGAAAGAATAACACTTACCCAATCTGTAGCCTAGTGTAACTAGTATGGTTAAAAATGTGGGAGACCCAGACAGGATTAATAGGAATATATTTATAGGGTACTGAACTGGGAGCCAGTTCCAAACTGGACCATTTCCCCTGGAATCCTAATTGAATCACTCAAACATAAGCAAATCAACAACCTAAATATTCTTCCTTATTTCAGGATTGGTAGGAAATGGTCCAGTTTGGAACTGGGCCCCAGTTCAGGAGCCTTGAAATGTATTTCTGAACATCCAGCTTGGTTCTCCCATAAATTTAACATCACCAATTAGACTGAGCTGAACTACAGGTTGGGTAAGAGTTACGTTCTTTCTTTTGACCTTGCAAGTTGTTTTGAGTTTGTTCCTATGTTTATTCCCATAAACTTATTATGTCTTGCACGAACACTTCAGTTGTTCATACTTTTCAGAGGGCTGAACTAGATTCTCAGCCCCACCCGCAATATGTTACATTTGGGGAGTTGGGCAATGTGGGTAGGAGTCAGATGCTCTTGATTGTTCAATATTTGGTGCTGGGTCCAGCAAACGGTGCGACAAGATTCTTTGGGTGGATCTCTAGGAAAAGAAACAGCAGCCCAGCACCAACAGGAATCTTCCAAAGAGAAATTGCTCAATTTTCCATGTGACAGCTCTTAGGATATTTGAAGATGCCTATAATTTATAGGAAGTGGGTGGCGCTGTGGGTTAAACCACAGAGACTAGGACTTGCCTATCAGAAGGTCAGCGGTTCGAATCCCCGTGACGGGGTGAGCTCCCGTTGCTCGGTCCCTGCTCCTGCCAACCTAGCACTTTGAAAGCAGAAAGTGCAAGTAGATCAATAGGTACCACTCCGGCAGGAAGGTAAACGGCATTTCCGTGTGCTGCTGAGCTGTTTCGCCAGAAGCGGCTTAGTCCTTCTAGCCACATGACCCGGAAGCTGTACGCCGGCTCCCTCGGCCAATAAAGCGAGAAGTGTGCGCCGCAACCCCAGAGTCGGTCACGGCTGGACCTAATGGTCAGTGGCCCCTTTACCCTTTACCTTTATAATTTATAAGAGGGACGCAGGTGGCACTGTGGGTTAAACCACAGAGTCTAGGACTTGCCAATCAGAAGGTCAGCAGTTCGAATCCCCGCGACGGAGTGAGCTCACATTACTCGGTCCCTGCTCCTGTCAACCTGGCAGTTCAAAAGCATGTCAACGTGCAAGTAGATAAATAGGTATCGCTCCAGCGGGAAGGTACAGCCGGAAGCTGTACTCCGGCTCCCTCGGCCAATAAAGCAAGAATGAGCGCCGCAACCCCAGAGTCAGTCATGACTGGGCCTAATGGGCAGGGGTCCCTTTAGCTTTATAATTTATAAGCTAAACTTCCCCAAATCCCTTAACCGTTCCTCATCAGGCTTGATTTACGCGGGACACTTGTTACATTGAATTGCACTTGCTATTTTACTGCCCTTCACTCATTTTGGAGGGGTCCTTTTGGAGATCCCTTTTTCCTTTCTCACCCCCCCCAACAATGTACTAACATACTCATCTTTGGCCACCTCACTGCTCTTCCCTGACGCTGGACTGTTGATGAACAAGTTAAAAAGGAAGAAACCTCCTCTTTTCCCTCCCCGATCCTTGTGGCTCCCAGTTCCCCTCACCCCTCACCATTGGCCATGCTGCCTGAGGCTGATGGGAGTTGGAGTCCAAGGAAGTCAGGGGGGTTCCACAGGTTCTCCATCCCTGCCCTACAGCACCCCAGACACACAGGGCGCTTCGCTGTTTGAATAGCTTTTACGTTCCCCCGAAGGCTTAGCCTGCTTCCCTGCAGTTTCCACTCATTTGGCACTGCAGACAAGATGCACCCATTTCTCCGTGTGGTGATTTAATTTCCAGAGCCCAGATGAGGGAGGGTGAATCCTGAAGAACAGCCATGCTAGTAACTCTGCACAAAGAGCATTTCAGTTTGACGTTCCTGAAATGCAAAAAGCGAGAGGCGAACTTGAGGCAGTGATTTATTTGTGTCTTGAGACGAACAGGTGCCAACGATAACAGTGACATTTATGGGGACCAGGAAATAGGAACAGTCCCTAATAAAGAGGGACAGTAAGAGTGCTTGCATTTTGCTTTCACGATACCAGAGGCAGGTTGCCAGCATGGCTCTGTAGGCGGCAGACAGCGTGCTGGCAAAGCGTGACAATGCCCTTCTCTTTTTCTTATCCCAGCAGGTGCCCTGATGGTAAACGGGAGCCAAGAGGCCTCTGCTTGCTGTTCACACTCTGGGGTTACAGAAGGGGTTAAAGAGCCCTTTGCTGGTGAGGATGAGCCGGTGGGATGAGGCTAAATCTGCGAGCCTTTCAATTCTTTCTTAGCATCGCCCTGTTGAAAATGAAGGACTGTGAGAAGGAAGGGCCACAAGAGGGGATAAGGGGAAACTCACAAAACCTCTTGAGTTACTGCCATCTTCAGAGTGCTGCAAAGCCCACCCAGAAAGCCCACAATTCCCATTCACGTCTTCCAAACGTGGGTCTCCAGCTGTTTTTGGACTACAGTTCCCATCACTCCTGACCTCTGGTCCTGCTTGCTAGGGATGATGGGAGTTGTGGTTCATGTGCAGCAGGAGACGCAAATTTGGTAAACACTGTTCTACTCCACCTGCTGTCCACTCTACATGATAGGCAAGGCTTGGAACAGTATAATACTTTTTTTTATTCTCGTGTGCCCTCCTTGCTTCTCTCTTCTTCCAGCCAACATCCAGCTAGCCAGTGATTGCTCCGCTCTTCCCTCATTTATGCAATTTATGCAAACCCCTCCACACCCAAATATATGCAAATATGTTTTGATTCCCACAAACCATACTCGGCCCAGGCTTCATTGTCTCTTCATGCAGAAATTATAGGCATCTTCAAATATCCTAAGAGCTGTCACATGGAAAACTAAGCAATTTCTCTTTGGAAGCTTCCTGTTGATGCTGGGCTGCTGTTTCTTTTCCTAGAGATCCACCCAAAGAATCTGGTCCCACCGCTTGCTGGACCCAGCACCAAATATTGACCAATGAAGGGCATCCGATTCATACCCACATTGCCCAACTCCCCAAATGTAACATATTGCGGTTGGGGCTGAGAATCTAGTTCAGCCTCCTGAAAAATATGCACGACTGAAGTGTTCATGCAAGACATAATAAGTTTATGGGAATAAACATTGGAACAGACTCAAAACAACTTGCAGTGTCAAAAGAAAGAACGTAACTCTTACCCAATCTGTAGTTCAGCTCAGTCTAATGGGTGATGTTAAATATATGGGAGAACCAAGCTGGATGTTCAGAAATACATTCCAAGGCTCCTGAACTGGGGCCCAGTTCCAAACTGGACCATTTCCTACCAATCCTGAAATAAGGAAGAATATTTATGTTCTTGATATGCTTATGTGTGAGTGATTCAACTAGGATTCCAGGGGAAATGGTCCAGTTTGGAACTGGCTCCCAGTTCAGTACCCTATAAATATATTCCTATTAATCCTGTCTGGGTCTCCCACATATTTAACCTTACAAATTACACTAGGCTTTAGATTGTGCAAGTGTTATTCTTTCTTTTGATGTTGCAAGTTATTGTTTGGAGTCTTCTTCTTTGTTTATTCCCATAAACCTATTTATGTGAAAGTCGTGCATGAATGCAGCGATGCACGGCATAAAAAGGGCTCCTCGGTCTCCGACGGCACCGAAGAGGTTGAGCTGGCAGGATGGCGCTGAGCGGAGTCAACCAGAGCCACGTGCAGCCCGTTTGGGCCGAGATCCCGTCCCTTCCTGACAACATCAGCGCGGAGGCCTGGTAAGCCCGCCCCGTCGGCCAGCGACCCTCTCCCGATGGCGAGGCCATGGCCCGACGCTTCTCCTCTTTACTCTCGTCTCCCGCCGGCTGTTCGCGGCGACCTTCGCCTACAGCTTCGCCCGCGCCCTGGGCACAGGGAACCCGCTCGCGGACCCCTTCAACTCCGGTATGAGTCTCTCTCCCTCCCCGTCGGGCGGGGGCTCCAGACGTGGTTCCTTCCTTCCCCCCTCCTTCGCTCCGCTCCGTCCTCTCCGTCTAACGCTCCCCGCCTTCACCCCCCTCGCAGCTGCCGAGCCCAGACATCCAGGTGGTAATGGACGTCAACCTCCGGACTCCTAGATAAGAGCGCCAGCGTCTCCATCGACAGCCGCCCCGTCATGCTGACCTCCAAGTACCGCTAGGCCAGAGAAGCAGCCGGCGCCCTCCGCAGAAGTGCCGCCTGGACGTGGCAGCCTCGAGCACGTCCCTCCCCCCCCCCCCCCAATAAATCTGCTTTTAGCTCTCACTGCTCTCCCGGAGTCTATTTAGGCTGAACGGGGTGGGGGGTGGCGGGAAATAATGGAGTTGGGAAGGACACTCAGAGTCATCTAGTCC